AACTTAAAATGCAATACATTTTTAGAATTTAAAAAGATATTTTGAAAAATTTTAGTTAGATGCATAAATTTACAAATTCTAATTGTGTGTGTGCGCGCGCGCGCGCGCGTATGTGTGCGTGTATATATGAATGATAGTTACATTTTAAGTATATTGCACCAGCAACCTTAATTCTGGCATTTTTTAGCTTGAGTCTATAGGCTTTACCCATTTGCATAAAATGTAGTTTGCATACTTACTTACGGCAACTATACCAAGTTTCTTTACCTGCAAAAATAAAACAACAACAAAAAAGTCTTTTAACAATTTACTGCTCAAAATTTACTATAAAACTAATCCTGTATTCTACAAGTAGAATTATTCACAAATTAGGTCCTCTTGCAGGTCACGTGGCAGGGACCAGCACTGCCCTGCCACGCGACCTGGCTCCACAGGGCGCAGAGATCCATGCCACGGGTCTCCCTGCCAGTGCTGTCCACCCCGAGCAGCCCCACATCACTGGGGCAGCACGTGGCGGGCAGCAGCAGCAAAGAGACCCCCAGTGCAGATCTGCCCCCTGCAAAGCTGAGTTGTGCGGCTGAGCAGCAGCGTGCACCTGTTTCCCTGCAAGCCCAGCTCCGAAGTTCTGAATTTTTCTGAAACATTTCTGAAACGTTTTGGATGCCTTGTTTCATTTCGGAGATGTTTCAGAGCCTTCTGTTTCGATTCGGATTCAGTGTTTTGGGTGCCGAAACAGCCTGAAACACCTCCAAAACGAAACAGCTGCCGAAATTTCGCACAGCCCTAAAAACCCCAAAATATGAGAACTTATGAACCCATGGATGTAGGTTCCCTAGCATGCCTCATGGTTAGCTGACCACATACGTATTAACTCAGAGCCAACAAGGAATTAAGTGCATGGCTAATGCTGGCAGACAAGGTTCCTTGGATGAATTTGATATCTTTTATTAGACCAACCCAAATAGTTGGAGAATAGTTATTAAGCAAGCAAGCTTTCGGGTTCAAAAACCCTTCGTCAGGCTAAGGAAGTTTCAGCAGTTGGTGTGTGCTCTTCCTGGATGGAGTTGAGCATTTAGGTAGGCCCATCTGGCCCCAAAGTCTACTAACATACTTCAAGGTAAGCATATGCCTAGGTGCTTTGCTGGATTCATTCAGATTTCATGATATCCATGTTCTATCCCTATTCTAGATCCCTCCTATAGCCAAGTTACTTTTGAACCTGCAAATTAAATCCTAGTATGCATTACATATTTAGATCTAAGTAAGGATTTGGAAAGATGCTCTGAAAGATTTAATTTGGAGGTACAAATTCATATATTTTTAAAAACTGATATAAACGTAAGATTTGAATAACCTTATTTAATAATTTGGTTATTTTAACCCCATTCAATTATGAACTAAAGTGTAACTTGATCTATGCAGTCAGAAGCATGTTGTTCAGCTTAGCAACTCCAGTGTTAGTTTTGTTCACTATTCCTTTCCTAGACACTGGGGAGTTTTTGGTGATTTTTTAGTGCTGGGAAAATAAGGAACTAACACACGCCCTCATCTCAGAAACACTGCACCATGCACATACCCCCATTATGTGCAGACTAAAAGTAACTTACATGTTTGCTAAATTTCTTGCACAGTTCAGACTCTGCACCCAAGAGTGCTGAGAGAGTTGGCTGATGAGACTGCAGAGCCATTGGCCATCTTCCTTAGAAACTCATGGCTATCAGGAGAGATCTTGGATGACAGGAAAAGGGCAAACATAGTGCCCATATTTATGAAAGGGGAAAAAGGAGGATCCAGGGAACTACAGACCAGTCAGCCTCACATCACTCAGTCCCTAGAAAATTTATGGAGCAGATCCTCAAGAAATCCATTTCTAAGCACTTGGAGAAGAAGGTGATTATGAATGGTCAGCATGGTTTTATCAAGGGCAAGTCATGCCTGGCCAACGCAACTGCCTTCTATAAGATGACTGGCTCTGTGGATGCAGGGAGTCCAGTGACTGTGGTGTACCTTGATTTTAGCAAGGCTTTTGATATGGTCTCCCACAACATTCTTACAGGCAAGCTAAGGAAGTACAGGCTGGATGAGTGGACTGTAAGGTAGACAGAAAACTGGCTGGAGCATAGGGCTCAGAGAGTAGTAATCAATGGCTCAATATCTAGTTGGCAGCCGGTATCAAGTAGAGTGCCCCAGAGGTCAGTCCTGGGGCTGGTTTTGTTCATCAATGACCTGGGAGACAGCATAGAGTGCACCCTCAGCAAGTTTTCGGATAACACCAAACTGTGGGGAGTAGTAGATACGCTGGAGGGTAGGGCTAGGATTCAGAACAATCTCATGAGGTTCAACAAGGACAAGTGCAAAGCCCTGCTTTTAGGATGGAGCAATCCCATGCACCAGGACAGGCTGTGGGCTGACTGGCTGGGCAGCAGCTCTGCAGAAAAGGACCTGAGGGTTACAGTAGATAATAAGCTGAATATATGCCCACAGTGTGCCCTTGTTGCCAAGAAGGCTAATGGCATACTGGGCTGCATTGACAGGAGTGTGGCCAGCAGGTCCAGGGAAGTGATTCTTCCCCTCTATTCAGCACTGGTGAGGCCACACCTGGAGTACTGTGTCCAGTTTTGGGCCCCCCACTACAGAAAGGATGTGGACAAATTGAAGAGAGTCCAGAGGAGGGCAACAAAAATAGTGAGGGGGCTGGGGGACATGATTTACGAGGAAAGATTGAGGGAACTGGGCTTCTTTAGTCTAGAGGAGACTGAGAGAGGACTTAATAGCAGCCTTCAACTACCTGAAGGGGAGTTCAAAAGATGATGGAGCTGGACTGTTCTCAGTGGTAGCAGATGACACAAGAAGGAACAACAATCTCAAGTTGCAGCAAGGGAAGTTTAGATTGGATATTAGGAAGAATTTTCTCACTAGGAGGGTAGTAAAACACTGGAGCAGGTTACTCAGAGAGCTGGTGGACGCTCCATCCTTGGAGGTCTTCAAGACCTGGCTAGACAAAGCTTTCACTGGGATGATCTAGTTAGGGATGGTCCTGCTTTGGGCAGGGGGTTGGACCAGATGAGCCCCTGAGGTCCCTTCCAACCTAAACTTTGTAGGACTCTATGACTAGACACCCACCGCGGGCTTATCCCCCGGCCAAGTGCAGCTCTGACCTGCTGCTGACCCAGTGTGTAGGGGAGCCAGGACACCTGGGCTCCACCCCGCAGGGGAGGGGGGATGGGAGTAGTGCATCCTGGGATGTTGGGGGACTGCAAGTTGCTGTTTTTCTCTCTGGGGGCCAGGCCCACGCTGCCGTCACGCCAAAGCCAGAGGG